CATATCATATATTGAAAAACATCAAGCACTGTTACCTCAAGACAACCTAAACCGGATAAAATTCAAGAAAATCCAAACTTTTTTATGCATGTCTTATTTACTGACGAATCCACATTTTCAAACACATGCTTACCCAATCGTCGCAACTTTCACCACTACGCTGACAATAATCCCAGATTATTGAGGGAAATAGATCATCAGCATCGTTTCAAAGTGAACGTGTGGGCTGGAATTTGTGGAGAAGATATTGTTGGACCATACTTTTTTGAAGGCAATTTAAATGCCAATGTGTATTTGCAGTTTTTGCAAAATGAACTTCCCCTTCTTCAGGTACATATGCCCGCTAATTATTTGGTTCAACAATGGTTTCAGCATGATGGTGCCCCTCCACATTCCACTTTGGCTGTAATGTGATTATTTTATTGTTATTATACTTTTCCTATTACCTATTTATGTTTCAGGTTAGAGAACACCTAAATCACGTATATCCAAGCCAGTGGTTAAGTCGCGGTGGTCCAATTCCTTGGCCCGCACGTTCGCCTGACTTAAATAGTCTGGACTTTTTCTTGTGGGGTTATATCAAGGAGCGAGTATACGAAGTACCACCAAAGGATATTCAAAACTTAAAAGTTCTAACTATAACACCTCAAATGTTAAGAAATGTCCACATTCATTTTCATGGTAGATTAATGCTTTGTGTAGAAAACAACAGTGGACAGTTTGAACATTTATTTTAAGTTAGCTTGCGACTATGAGTATTCTTTTTTCAAAATTGTATTCATCCAAATTTTTTAATCTCCAATTTCACTAATAACTTTCCTAACTACGGTAACAGTGCTTGATTTTCAATATGATACGGATGAAACTTCTTCAATATTTTATTTGTCAATAATGATGAAAGAAATTAATTTTAAATTTTGGTGATTAGTCAAGTCAGTAACTTGACTATATAGTGATGATAGTTACCTACAAGGTAGGTACCTAATAAACAGAATAACAATAACGTAATGCACATTGCAGAATGCGGAGTAGAATACACTTAATCCGGATGTGTAGATGCGTATTTTTTTTAGCATTTGTTGCACCAGTCGCTAGTCGTAACAAGCAAAAAGTATTTGTTTTTGAAAGGTATTTTGGGTACCTACCTATTTTAAATACTCAAGAGTATTTAAATTACTTTTAGAAGATTTTAAATACTTTTTAAAATATAAAATTTGAAATACAAAATATTTTTGAGGTTATACTAAAAGTATTTTAATTTCAAAATACTATTTTATATTTCCTACTATTGGTTTGTCAAAATACTCTGACATTTATGTTATTTAGTTAAAAAATAAATAAATAAAACAAAAATAAAATTGAACGCCCTGTATCTCAGAAACAAAGCGTTTCAGGACCCATATATATAGGAACTTTTAGACTCAAAATGAGGTCTTCTACTGATTCCTGAAGTCCTGCTATTTAAATGTGAGACACCCTGTATATTAAATCATTATTGTTGATATGAAGAATTTGACTTTCCGAAAACTATAACTTTATTGGTATTTTGAAACATGATCACATATTTAAAAAAACATTAAAACAAAACTACAAGTGTTATGAACTTTTAGGATGATATTTATAATTTCTGTATCTTGATGTGATTTAATAAACCATATTCTATATTTATTCTAATAATTTTATAAATAGCATTCTGATATACAAGATCCAAAATTAGTTGTTTCAAATCAAATGCGATTGCATCTGAGTGAATGTTACTTGAATTTCTATTGAATTCATTTATTCACGATCACTTTTTTTTAATTTGCCTAGGGGCATTTTAGATATTTATAATGCCCTAAGGTTGTTTTCCTCATTTAACTGTACTTTAAAATAACAGGCTAGTGGGACCTGAATTCTTTTCAACTATGGTTATAGGCAAGAGTTAATTAAGGTTATATGGGTAGGTATAGTTAAACAAAATCTGTTGGAACTTATAAATTTACTACTGACAAAAGAAATAAGTATATACATACATATAAACAAAATACTTAATACCATCAACTTAGAACCAAAAGATTGTTTATACAAAAAAATACTACTAAATATATGGGATGTTTAAATGATATAACCAGAGTATATTGTAAATTGCAATGATGGATTCTAGTCATTACACAAATCTGCCAACCAGTAGTGGAGATACTGGAAAATACCTTCAATAAAAACACTAGAATTTAAAATGAAAATTGAATAAGTGAATTTAATTTTGATTGATATTTTGATATTTAGTATGTTATTTTATATATAGTATATAAGTGGGATTAATTCAAGAGCGATTTTCTCAGAAACAGTTAAAAATAACGATTTGAAACAAGAGTACCTTTTTAACGTAAAACAGTTTGGGAAAACGGAATTTGCTGTCCAATTTGTTAAAAAGTCAAAGATGAAAAAGTTACACACGCAAAGTACCAAGGGCCCCCCCGTACCCACCCCAATAGACCTTGTGGAAATAAATGGATTAGTCCATCAAATTGCTCATCAAAATTTAGCTGTGTATACCAAATTTCATTCATTTATCACAACGCGATTGAGAGATATTGCAAAAAACTGATTTCCATTCCTCCCTCTTCAATGGGTCCCTGTGCCCTTAGGAAGCATTTCCGGACCCATGTTCATATGAACTTTTTTACTTAGTTTTGATCATAGAATCGGCCTGTTCAGGGTTGGCAGCTAATTATGGGACACCCTGTATATATATATATATATATATTATATATTATTTTAAAAAGGTATCCATTCCATTTTCTTAGATAAACAGCAATTTTCATTTTTTTTTAATTCAAATTCAGCCTATTTAAATCTTTTTAGTAATAAAATTTTATAATTCTTAATGACTATTTTCTAGTTGGTTGAGATTTGTGTAACAAGTTAGTTTTTTCATCATCACCAAGTTTCATCAATGAATCATTTTCAAAATTTAAATTAATGTGATATTTCAACATCCTGTGTCTCAAAGAAAGCATTTTCAAACATGTTTATCGAAACTTTTTTTAATTGATCTGTAACATAAAATCCATCATTAAAATTTGGCAGAGTATTTCGTAAACGTCCTGTATTTATTACACTAAGTGCAAATAATAAATTATACATTTTATATTATGTCTCTTACATTAATTATGTATATAGAACTTTGGTTAAAAACATTTTTGAAAAATAGTTTACAAGTAAATTCCCTGAGAACATGGCAAACTGTCTGAAAAATTCCCTGCCTGAATATGAAAATACAAGGAATGTCACAAATAAATATTTAATATGCAAATATTTTAAAATTCTGTCAAAAAGAAAAAAATATGTATATTTCATAAACCTTTTGAACAATACAGAGTGTATGTAAAATCTTGACATTATTGCATCAGAGTATAAAATAATATTCATAACAAAGTACATTCTTGCTTGTAAAAATGATAAGAAATATGCGAGAATTAGAGATTTTTCATGAAAATTAGAGTTATTTTTATTTACAGTCTAAACTATTGACTTCAGCATGATGCAAATTTGGTGATTGATAACACATGCGTACACGCTTGTTTTTGATGTAAGTGAAACTTCATTATGACCAGAATGCCAGAGATGGACTATGCCCAATGGTTAACAACCCAGAATTTTTGCATATACAACGATTGCAATCTGCCTGCATAAAAAATAAGTTCCCTGAAGAATTTACCAATGATATACCCTCTTGGTTCAACTCGATAAAATTAACGGTTTTGGAAATATTTGTGATTTTATGGCACAGTGCACATCAAGCGGCGCCTCCACCATTTTTTGTTTTTAATTTTTAACTGGACAATTACTTTGTTAGAATCGTACATATTTTTAAAATAAGAGCCTAGGAAATCTTACTGTCTGCTAATATAGTTTTCACTAACAAAATTTGATAAACACACTTTACACATAACACGAAACAAGAATAAGTTAAATAAGTTAAAAAAATAATTTAAAAGAAAGAAAACTATCAAAATACATTTTCAATATGGGCATCTGCCACCTCCACACACTTCTTAAGTCTACAAATGTTATTTGTTTGTACAAGAAATAATATTTATGGGGTAATAATTTAATTAATAGGTCCATACGTTTTTGAGGAACGTTTGAATGGACATCGCTATTTGGAGTTTTTGCAAAATAATTTGCAGCAACTATTAGACAATGTTCCATCAGACACCCAAATAAAAGTTTGGTTCATGCACGATGGGGCTCCCCGTTTCAATATTGATGTACGAAATTATTTATCTACTGTGTTTAATAATAAATGGATTGGGAGAGGAGGCCCAATTTCATGGCCACCATGTTCTCCAGATTTTAACCTAATGGACTTCTTCGTGTGGGGATACCTGAAAAGTTTAATGTACGCAACCCCAGTACAGACAAGGGATGAATTGCTACAAAGAATTAATTTCCATTGTAATAATATTAGACATATCCCAGATGTGCTTTTTGTGTCCAAACAAATAACATTGCTTTAAATTATTCCTGTTTTGTGTTATGTGTAAGGTGTGTTTGTCGAATTTTGTTAGTGAAAATTACATTAGCAGACTAAGATTTTCTAAGCTTTTATTTAAGAAATATGTACCGTTCTAACGTAGTAATTATGTCCAAAAAATTAAAAACAAAAAATGGTGGAGCGCCACTCGATGTGGACTGTGATACTGACATAAAACCACAAATATTTCCTAAACAGTTTATTTTACAGAGTTGAACCAAGAGGGTATTAACGTTGGCAAATTCTTCAGGGAACTTATTTTTAACACAGGCAGATTGCGATTGTCATCTATGCAAAAATTCTGGGTTATTAACCATTGGGCAGTCCGTCCCCGACATACTTGGCACAATGAAGTTTCACTTACAATATAAAAAATAAGCTGTACACATGTGTTATCGATCACCAAATTTGCACCATCTTGAAGATAATAGTTTAGAGAAATAACTTTTTAATTTTCACCTTTGAGTGCCCGTAAATTGTTAACGAAGGCCCGTATGAAAAAAATTTATATGAAGAACTGATATTATTTTGACCTCATCTATTTGTATAAAGTACCGGCACACCCTTTATAAGAGATGAAAATATTATCTGCATGCAAAAGTGCAAACAAGTTGAAAACCTTGAGAGTTCTCCTTAACAGCATTTTTAACTTATTCGCTCTTTTGTACTCAGTGTGCACTGAGAATATTTCCATCCTACATTATTCGAGTTCGAGTACAGGATGAAGTGCACACTGATTAGAAATAAGTTAAAAATCCTTGTAATATACTTTTTTAATTCAAAATGTCAAAAAAATAATTTACTGATTTAAAATTATTAAAATAAAGCAGAATGTGCTATTATTATTCTGGATTGAGTTACAATTATATATATGGTAATACTATATAAGGTTTTAGCTATATTTTATGATAACTCTCCAATAGGTGCATGTTCTAACCATAATGTATGTAAAAAATTGTATAAATTGTCGCTAACAGATACTTTGTAAGGTGTTGGATTCAATGTTCGTTTAATATCTGGTCGCAATATTTTTAAAGAAGATTTAACATTTTCTCTTATATCTTCTAAATTTGGTAAAGGTTGACACAATTTCCCATCTTTCCAAAATAGATTAAGTAACTTTTCTACTTTGGAGGGAATAACAAATGCACGTTTTGATTCCACAAAAGGATGTCTGCACAAAACTTTTTGATTAACAATAGGCATATCTTCAACAGATCTCTGCAATAAATCTATTAAAGCATAACCTGTGTCACCATAAAGCCTATATACATCTTTTTTACCAGGTATAGTAACTTTCGCAACTTCTTGGCTTAATTTAATACGTGGTTCATCGTTTAACTCCACCATTTTATAAACACACCCTAAAGCTGGTTGTTTCTGACAAGTAACCAAATGTGTGCCAATACCAAATGAATTGAGGCAATGACCTTGATCATTTAAACTTAAAATAGTTTCTTCATTTATATCATTTGAAGCCATAATCATCAATTCTCTGAAATATGGTATAGAGTAGTGTTCACTTATTTTTATGAAATAATCTCTTGCAACAACAGATAGATATGCCAAGTCTCCACTGTCTAACCTAATACCTATTGCTCTATAACCAAAGTCATGCAAAGCAAGAGCAACAGCACAAAAATTTAAAAGACCACTTTTTTTAACGTCGTAAGTATCAACCAAGGCCATGAAACCATTTGGAAATGCAAGAGCAAAGGACACAAAAGCAGCTAATTCTCCATCACTAACTTCAGATAGAACAACATTAAATATAGAAATAAGTTTTTCTCTCCAATTGACTGCCACTGTTAAAAACTCTTGTGCCTCTCCTCCATGTTTTGGAATTAATTTTGTGGTATTTACTTCCATTAAACTGTTAAAAGATGTTACAAAAGCATGTGCATGTGTACCTTTCACAGGAATATTAAATAATTTTCCTGCAAGAACATTACTTGTTCCATCAAATCCTCCAACATATGAATATTTAGAAGCAGAAAGTCCACCATCCGGTCCTTGTGCACGTCTTAAACCAAATTCATATAGCTTAAGTTCTCCTGCAGCCATTCTGAACCTTGTCGCATTAGTAGCCATTAAACTTGCATAATTCACAAGATTTAATAATGAAGTTTCTAATAGTTGTGCTATAATAAGAGGTCCTTCCACCCTTATTAAAGGTACTCTTGGAAAAACAACTGTACCCTCTTTTATGGCATAAAGACAAATATCTTTTGCTGTCAATGAGTTTAAATATTTGTAAAATTCTTCTTCTATAGATGGTGGTAAAATTTGTTTTAAATATTGAATATCACTATCAGAGAAATTAAATTTTTGCAGAAACTTTAGACATTCTTCTAAACCAGCAAATATTGTAAATTCTCCATTGAATGGGTTTTTTCTAAAAAACAAATCAAAAACTGCATGTGTGTTAGTTTTTCCCGACTTCCAATAAGCGTAAGCCATTGTAATTTGATATAAATCAGTAAGTAACGGTTGGACAATACTATTTTGGCCAATCTTTGCTTTTACGTCGTTATGCATACTTTCCATTTATAAATTATAGAATTTCTTTACAATTTGATGCTAGTTAACACAAATAATACAAATATACACTAGACCACAAAACATATAATACACACTAGACCCTAGATTAGAGAAGTATATAGATTGGCAACTCTGATGCCCCCACTACTTTTTTCGAAATAGTTGTGTATCCTAACACAGGCGACGCTAGCGTCGCAGGCAATTTTTCGAGAAACCCTATTCTTAGGCAATTTTTTGCAATCATTAAATATATACCGATATACCGTGTGTGTGGCCCAGGACCCAGGATAGATGTAACGAGAGGTATAACGGGCAAATTTAATTTTGAATTAGTATTTGAAGATTAAGTTTTGGTTGTTGTAATACTAGAGTAACAAAATATGTGTTGATTTAATGTCGTACAGAGTATTTTATGAGCAAACTTGCAAAAAGATGTCCATTAATCAAGTGCTTTTATATTTAAAGATATCAAAAAAATTCCACTGTAAAAAGTTATTTAGAAGGCAATTTTGTGTGGACATGTATATCCATAATCGACCATGTGTCAGCGTCACCAGCCGACACCAAGCCGAGTCAATGTTCACCTGTGTCGTTCAATCGTGGTCAAGCAAGATGGGCAATGGGCCTACATAGCTCATCATGAAGAGTAGTGTTTATGTACAAGTTTAAATATAAATCATTTTTCTTAGCGGAATCCATATCATGGAAAATAGAGGTGTCCTATTAATGGTAATTATTACAACTTTGATATAAAACACCCTGTAGAACACCAAATAAACTCATTTTTGTTATATCTTAGTTTTACAAGCAAGACTCAATCTTCAAGTACTATTCCAAAATTAAACAATTTTTGCCCATTACATCTCTTGTTATATCTATTCTGGGTCCTCGGACACACACACGTATATCTGTAAAATTATATTATTTGTTAGTTTACATGAATAATAGTAATTAATATGTGGTGGCATAATAAAACATGCATTCAAAATTTATATGTATATATTTAAATAAAAATAAAAAATATATTAACAACAGAAACATAAATAAAACATGCATTTAAAATTTATATGTATATATTTAAATAAAAATAAAAAAATATTAACAACATAAACATAAATAAAACATGCATTTAAAATTTATTTGTATATATTTAAATAAAAATAAAAAAATATTAACAACATAAACATAAATAAAACATGCATTTAAAATTTATATGTATGTATTTAAATAACGATAAAAAAATATAAGCAGCATATGTGAACAGGAACTGCCTGCAAATATTTGTTTTTATTTAAATGATTTCTTTATCTTAGTGAATACTGTGCAACTGTAAATAAAAATAAGGACAGAAATAACATACCAAAGCAACATAGACACTGTTGCTGATGAAAGTAGAAAAATGTTGAAAACGTCAATACTAATGCACTATTTGATATAAAAACTACTGACCAAACCTTTCGGTGCAGAGGTTTAATTTACTAAATTTAATATATTTTCAGGTTACATGTTGAAAGTTTATTATATGAAATAGAAGTAGAAATTCTTAATTTATAGAAATGTATAAATATTAATACTGAAAAAAATCAATCTAAGAATTAAGTAAAACTATACATTGAATATACTAAGTCAAATACAAAATTTATAAAGATAAAGTTATTACTTTTTAACTAGTGAAATATACCTACAATAAGAATTTATCGTAGCCTTTTTAAAGTACAAAGTTTATATTTTTTTGTTTTGTACTTTTTATATCGGTTTTGGGCAGCAATTTTAATAGGATCATTAATTTGTTTATTATGAATGCCTTTTAATATGCGATTCACATTCTTTACCCATGTGACAATGTAGAAAAATGTAAATTTATCTGTAAATAATTGTGTTAAATTGTGATTTGGACAATTAAAATTAAAATTAATATGTTGCAGCAACAAATTAATAATCTTTTTTCTTATCCTAAGTTGTGTGCAAATTCTTGGTAGATAATGATGTATGACATCATTACATTCGCTAAAGTACTTTGTAAATTGAGTTTTAGGACGTACAAGTGCCCTTGAACTATATGCCCTAGCCTCCAAGAATTGATGTTCAGGTTCACTCCCTGTACTTATTAACTGACTACGACAAATTATACAATTTTTAACATTTTTTAAAATTTTTCTAGCCAAAAATCCAGCAATATATGCATGAGTGTTCAAAACTAATACATCATTTTGTTTTTGGAATTTAAAATTTGGATCTACAGGTTCATTTGCAACAGTGACCATTTCTGCATCCACGTCATCAACAATTAAAAATTGTTTTAGCGAATCTAAAGCCCCTTCTGATTCATCTTGCTCACAATTTGAGCCTGGAGAGTGAGGTGAGGCAAAATTATTAATTAATAAACTCTTAAACGAGGCGACCATAGAGCTGCATGTTGGGTTAATATTTCGAACACCATGACTTCGAATGCACCCAAAGAAATTTTCCAACGGGTCCTGGTTCAGATTTCTGGTGCAAAGAAAATTGAAACCAGTTTGTTTCAGTTTTTGCCAGAGATAAATAAATCCACGCAAAGTCTTTGTCCAATTTTTTACAGTTGGTGGAATATATTCCTGTCTCTTCTGTGAAAAAAATTTGACAGTACAAAACACTTTTATTGCTTCGTACCAAAAATTGATGTGGGGTGAATCTTCAGTAACAGCACATCTTAATAACTTCCCATGTCCTGCACTAATCGTCGAAGCATTGACACTGTCGAATACCTTATCAACAAATAAGAGGAAGTCTGCAGTATCTGCTGCACTATCAGGAAGTTGGCCGTTACCTAAATTAAGAAAAATGATATAATAGAAAAATGTTATTCGATTAAAATATAAATATGCACATACCAAGTCTTACTATACCACGCATTATTGACGAAACTCTTTGAGAAAAAACTTGCGCTGCATTTTTTACTCTCATTTTTCTTATTTGAGTTTGGTAAATATGTTCGTTTGTAAGTCGATTTAACATTTTTGTGTCGTTATCTCCAACATCGAGCTCGTACAATGCAACAACATCTTCCCAAGAGGCTATCTGGAAAAATAAATTATTAAATGAATTGTTATGCATATCTTAAAAATTATGAACTTGATGCACAGATTTATGTTACCTATTGTGCAACTTACCTGCTCTGTATTTTGTTTCCAAACGAATTTTACTTTTCCTTGTAACATATTATTTCGTAAACCTTTTAACATATGAGGAGGATCAAACAATGGTACGATTTCATGTTCATTTATGCTAAAGCCGAACATCTGATTTTCCTCATTTCTTCTTTTAAAGTCTTCATCGGTATGCGTCATTAAAGTTCTTATTGCTGCACAATTTGTTGAATGTTGATCGCATACCTGCAAAGTAAAATACAGTAATTTCCGTTAAAATTTTAACATATGTTAAAGTGAACTTACAGTGGCTGCAACTTTTAACCCAATTTCTTGTAGGCTTCTAATGATCTCTTTTAACATTCTTACTAGTTCCGGAGTGCTTACTCCACCTTCAGAGAAAAAAAAAGAAATTGGCTGCTTCCATTTTCTATGAATGCCTCTTGCCATAAATACTATGACATGATCCGCAAACTTTGGTCTTCTGTCAGAACCAGTGTCCTCAAAACCCAAAATAATGTCATCCTTTTGATTGTATGTTAGGGACGCCTCTAACCACATTTCATCAAAAAGAAGGCAACAATATCTGTCCAATTCATTCATATTTTGAACAGTTTTTGCTAAACTGTTCATGATGTGATTATTTATGCCACAATGGAACGGTATTTTCCGTAAAAGGTTCAATAGGGTTTTTCTACTAGGTAGAGCAAATGTTTTTTGTAACAGTCGATAACACTTAGGGCTCTGCTTCAACAATGACAAACCAAAAATTTTATCGTCAATAGTAAAGCGACGACCCCTGCTGCTCTTTAATTGCAGTCTTGATTGAGAATTAATAAATTTTATTGTAGTACTATTTACTTTGCCTTGTAGAAATTCCTCATCTTCTGTAATTTTTAAAGCTGCTTCTAATCTTTCTCTGTTGGTTGCATTTTCATGGAATAATTTTCTTGCTGTTTGCACCATATTCTTCGCAGCTCTATAAAATTTACGAGCTTTAGGAGTTAAATCACTTTGGCGTCTTACTTTTCCCAACGCTAACAAACTGATTCTTCTACTATGGACATCTAGAAGAAAATTTTTTTATAATAAGATAAAAACATCATTTAATTTTAGATTATTTTTGGAAGCCACTAAATCTTGGAATATTATAATTGTATTACCTTTGGTAAATTTTGGAGTACTTGGAGATTCTACTTTCATTATTTTAGTTGGTGGAGGTGTCACCGGAGAAGCTGAAAAAGAAAATTAAAAGTTATATTATTTATTAGTATATTACATGTTTTAAATTACTTTGATCAGAATTTAAATTTAATAAAAATGCATTTAATAAATACCTGCCCGTTTCTCTCCTTGCTGGTGTGGCAACGTAAAAAAAGTAATTTCAGTAGATGTTCCAGGTTTAGGATCGTCAGAAAATTCAGAAGTATTACCAGGATCTAAAACAATCACTATGATGCAGTACAATTACAGGTATAATGCATAAATACCTAAAGTATATAGACACCTATATCTTACCTTCATTCTCGGGTAAATTTATATCTGGTATTGCACCAGCTTTCAAATTAGATCTATGGCGAATTGCTTGAAATTTTTGATTATCCGAGAAATGAATATCGCATATTCGATAAGCTTTAACATTTTCTAAACAAAGGTCACTTCTACCTATTGCTTGGGCCCATACTTGAAATATCTGCAAAAGATAACAAGTATTACTTATTCTTATGTATCTGCGCAATTAAAGTTTATTGCGAAAATTAGTTAAAATACAATTCTATGAACATGTTAGGTTAGTAAATATTTACCTCTGGATGTTTAGGAAACACGTGCATTTTCGTTGTTTTGTGACTGTTATTACAGTCCTTTACTACACACTTGAACACCATTGTTCACTTATAAAAGTTTATCAATATTAAAATTAAAACACCACAAAAATAGCTGCTAACAGTAGATCACAACACAACGCCGATACAAACAAAATGGCGTCGATTGTTTTGATTGCCAGAAAATATACAACAGGTTGCATAAGCGATGCTTATAGCGCTGCAGGTGTTAGGAACTATAACTAAAAAAAGTGGGGATAAGAAATTGCGGTAATTTCTTGAGAGTGGGCACCCCCTGCACTAGACAGACTAGGCACTAGACCATAGACCTTATAAACTACTGGACTCGCCACTCGCCCGCCGCCATTATTCCATGGCTAGAAATTGACCTCAATGATTTGGGATCACCATTATTTGATGGCTAGAAATTGGCCTCACGCGCCACGCGCGCGCGCGCCATTATTCTATGGCTAGAAATTGGCCTCAATGATTTGGGATCGAGGGGGATTATCCCTCTTTATCCTGCCTCATCTCGTGTAGGCCTGGACAGCCTTCGTAGGTGGGCCCCATCCGTCGTCTACCCCGACCGCAAATGCGGCCGGTGTAGGCGCTTTGTNTCTGCCGCTGCTGCCGGCAGAAGACACAAAAAAATCCTCTTATTTAGTTACTCTTATGGTTTTAGGTTAGCATGTATTCATTATTCTACACAATTTTGAAGATGTAATTTAAGGATTATCTATCCAATTTCGTTGATAGATTTGATTAAGTGAAAATGAGTTTAATGAAGTCAGTAATATTAAGTCCTAACAATATTAAGAAAATCTGCAGAATTTGTTTGGAACAAAAAACTAACCTACTTTCCTTGTTTACAAACTTACAATTTGAAGATGAAAGTATAGTATCTACAAGTATTCTAGATATTTTGATACAGTTAACTTCAGAAATAGTAAGTTAAATTATAATTGCAATTAAACCCATGATAATTAATTACCTACCTAGTTATTTAACTGATTAACTGGTGAACTAAAATTAACTATTTTTTTTTTGAAACTTTTGTATTTCTATATTAATGAATTTAATAAAATCATACCAGTATTACAATAATATATTCACTTTTCATATCGATATATAAGTACTTAATTCCCGTTAGTGAAGCCTGGTGTACTGGTGTAGGTACACATAGATGAAAGGCAAAAGAAATTTAGACAACTCTTAGTGTTGACTACAGTGGCTTTATAAAGGACAATTGGTGCCACAGAAAATAAAAAAATATATTGACATTTGTCGAAAAAAGCTGATAAAATATCTTTATATTTCTTGCTAATATGTATCTCTTAATTTAGCATAAATCAATTAAATTTTGGAAAGTTGTCAAATATGTCAAATTAAAGATATCCTTAGCTATCACATCAGCATTTAATGGCACGGAAATCTCTATTATTGCCACTATTTTTATATATCCATTGTAGTATCCACCATGCGTAAGTGTCATGAGAGGTGTTTTATTTATATGGTATTATTTCTAGAACTGTTACCTGTTAAAAATTTGTCTGAAATTAATATTTTGAGTGTTTGAAAGTACTTTTTTACAAGATGTATTTGTACCTGAATCTATATAAGTAGGTATATCTTTTTTTTTCAGATACAAAATGAAAATGGTCTTCCTGTACAAATATGTTTTAAATGTGTCGATTTATTAAAATCTGCTTACATGTTCAAACTAAAATTTGATGAATCGTCTAGAGTTTTAAAAAGATATCTGTCTACTATTATTGAACAAAAACAATTTATATCTGTAGGAAGTGATTCTAATGATGATAATTCAGATTTTGAAAATGATGCATATGAAGAGAAAATTGACAAAACATCAAATGAAGAACACAATTTTAATCAGATAAAAAATCTAAATAGAAGAAATAATGAGGTAGAATGTGAAAATGCAGATTCTGATGTAGAGTATTCAACTGCAACATTACCTTTATATCCCTGTCCTATATGCACCATGGAGTTACCAGCAACAGAATTAAAGCAACATGCTCATGGTCATAAAGCATTAAAAAAATATTTAAACATTTCAAAAGTAAGAGAAAACATTAAATTCTATGCAAGTCCTCGGAATACTATTTCACTTTTTAATCAAACAGAAATTTTGCATAAATGTCCATTCTGTAATAATAATTACCCTGCACAACAATTTAGAGTTCATGTAGATAATCATAGAAAGGAAGATGAATTTAAATGTGACAATTGTGATAGAGTTTTTAGGAAATTAAATCATTTAAATACTCATCGAGTAAAACATTTAAAGGAATGTCCATATAAATGTAATCAGTGTGGAAAGGGGTTTGTAATAAAAAAAAATTATGATTGTCATATGTTGACACATACAAATAATGAATTGCCTCTTGAATGCAGCTATTGTTTAAAAAGATTTTCTAATCCTGAACATCTCCATCGGCACCAAATTATTCATACTGAAAATGTATCGTACTCCGAAAAATATAAAGTTTGCAAATGTCATCACTGTTTAAAAACCTTCAAGGATAAGGAGACTTTAAAAAGTCATATATGTGTACCAATTGAACAAGCAGTTAATACTAAATATCCTTGCAAAACTTGTGAAAAGGTTTTTAAACATTCTAGTGGACTGTATAATCACATCAGAAATAATCACAAACTTAAAAGTACAAAAACTTTGTGTTCTGTCTGTGGGAGTTATGTTTCCAATATTTATAATCATATGATGAGGCATACTGGAGAGAAGCCATATCCATGTAACCAGTGTGATAAACGATTTGCATCTAAACCTCAGTTAAAGCAGCATTTATTAGTTCATTCTGGACTCAAACCATTTGTATGTAGTGTATGTGCAAAGGCTTTTAATAATTTGTATAACTTGCAAGTGCATGAAAGGATACATAAAGGTGATAGATGTCACATTTGCCCTGTATGTAACAAAGGATTTTTAGAAAAATCATATTTAAAAAAACATATGAATGTACATAAAAATATTAATTAGTCTGTATTTTTGTTGTATTTTGTATAATAAAATTACTATAAAAGAGTATTTATTATCATAAAATTTTTGAATTGCTTACAAAAAGAATTTCCTCTTTTTACACATACTGAAATTTTTGTTATCTTTAAACCAACATTTATTGCTCCTATTATAATACTATATGATATGCTGCTATGTAATTTTAATGTCCATATATACTTTGAAGGGTGATAAAAGTAGATCATAAAAAGTAGTTCAGATTTTTAATCAAATAAAGTTATAACCCTCTGAAGTAATACAAAAATCATTTAAATATATTTTTTAAGGGACCAGGTGTGGTGTACTATTCCGTGTACCTGAAATTATCAGATTCTTGGGGTCTAAAAGACTAAAACTAAACTTACCTCAATCTAAAGTTGTGTTATTTATCCGGTAAGGTAAGGACAGCAGTTTTTTTTTATTTTTTTTGTTTTACAGATATATAAAAAATATCATTAGTACTAACAGATATGCACATATGTATTTGTAGGAGATATTGCAATTTCAGTTTTTGCTTTATTAAACAGATAAAAGGCCTATTCCTTTGCACAGAAAGTGTAGTACTAGCTGCACTGAATAGCCAGTTATCGTTCCTTTGCAAGAGAGTGTTGCATTTTACACCACACTTTCTTATTCCACTGCTCAGTGTTAGTTGCACTAGTGCAGTTTATCTACACCTAGCCTGAGCAGGAGTGAAATGCACTGGACATGCGCAGTCTGCGCTATTTGAACATTTCACAATTCTTGTATCTTAGAACCAAATAATCAAATAGTGTTTTATTTATCCTAGTGTTTTAAAAACTTTATCAGAATATTTGGGTACAATTTCTTCTACATATATACTGTTTAATTGAATGTCGTTTATCTCTTTTAAATAAACTATCACTCGAACTTGAATGAAGATCTACTAATCTATTGTCTAAAAAGTCATCGTCACAAAAAACACCTACGACGTCCATAATTAATGCTTAGTTAGGAAAAAAATACAGTTTTCAGATTTAGAATATATCCTAAACTTATATTATTGTACAGCTACACCATCTCACACTTCGTTATTCCTTTGATCCTAACAGAACTTTTGCACCACTCTGATCAGCTGGTTTTCAGTGTAATGTAATTTACACTACACTGAATAACAAAGGAAAGAACTTAAAGGCTTTTTCCAAGTACTATTTGTTTTTCCAGCGAATTCCCTTAATTATTTATTTTATTAGTCATTGTCACATATTTAGAATTTAAATTTGATATGACTCATCAAAAAATATTGCATGTTATAAAAAACAAATTAATGTTTCATTAGAATTCAGAAACTTGTACTATTTTCAGTAGGTATAAAAAAAAATGTACTTATTTGCGATTTGCTTATTCTGCAGTATAGTTTCTTTCAGTTATCTAATTTTTCTACAAGGACAACAATTTATAATTATTTAATCAATAGTTACATCAGTTATTTTCCTTTATAAAATTCAGCTAATTATTTATTATAAGCATTTAGCAATAGCAATAATAGCATTCTGCATTTCTTGCCAAACGCACATTATAGCCAACAAGTCGTACAATTTCTATTTTATCTCTTAATGGTTATTAACACGAAATAAACTTACTACACACTAATTTGTCACTTTTGACAATTGGCTAACTACATTTTTTTGTTTTGCTTTATGGATAACTTCCTATCAACAATAAATTAATTAAAAAAAGGTAGACTTGTTAATTTTTAATTTGGCTATAAAATCTTTATTATTTAAAATTTTTTGTTAAAATTTGGCACTGGCCCATTTCGGGTTGTGAAATACAAAAATATAATTCTCAAAAAACCTCTAATATGAAATATTAGAATTTTCCTCTTAAAAATGGACGTAGTACGCCTTGGATTTTGTAGGATCACCCTCATTTTCCTTCATAAAGCACACTTCATCAAGCTCTACATTTAAAAAAAAATATGGTTAAAATCAGTAAGTAAAGATTTTACAGGATGGCTTAAAAACAAATGGGTCACACTGTATCCATTAAATAGGTATCTACTTCAAACGAAAAAGAAACTTTTACTTAGCCAAAGATGGATATTTTTTTGGATCCAAAATCCAAATCGAAGGTGAGGGCAATTATAATTTTATGGTTTAACTGTATCGTATAATCATCTATATCACTGTTAAGTTACAAAATCTGTGAACTGTTGGTTATGAATCAAGAACATTAATATTTTATTAATTTTATTTGTTTTATACCACACATTCTCAAGAGGTAACACAATCTATACTTCTAGAAAAGCAAATTTTTTCAAAGTAGGTAACTACTCAAATTGAAAATTTTTAACCTTTAAAAAATATTGTTATTTTTTGAAAAGAAGAATAATTCAGCTACATTATACTGTAATAGAATAGCAGTATGAATATAATGCAAGTAGGTATTGCTTTGTACAAACAAAAAATAATTCATAATTTGCTGTATTATTATAGTTCATTTTGGATTAAGGATGGAAACTGATGCATTTCTGGTTGCCTAAATTATACCGAAAAATGGTAGAAAACAGCCCTTTTTTATTCCAATATATCTTTTTAAAGCAATGGAAGAAAGTAGTAAAATTTCATATCACATTTGGCAAAGTATAAATGAAGACAGTAAAGCAAAAATTAATTGGGATAGGTAAATAATTCGTGAGAAATTAATTTCTAAATATGAAGGTTTTTTGGACTTTTACAAAGAAACGATTATTTCTTCATAGTATTATAGAATTATGCAATTTTTTATATAGTTGTCTTTAAATAAATAAACTGATTAGACTTTATTTCATAGTTTGTTCATCACTTTATTATTTAAAAAGTTATATTGGAATAAAATTATTAAAAAATATTCATTCATGAATAGCATTATCTCCGACTTTTAATTCGCTTGATTTGTAATAGATGTCGCACTAGTAAAAATTTATTTATGAATGGACTCGGGTTATTTTTAACGAACAGCTGTTGTATGTGGTTAATTTGGTATAACCTGATTCTGAATTGGTAGTCATGGTTTCTGTTAATTGATACGTAAATATTTAAAGAATGTCATGATCATTTTAGATATATTTTTGTATAAAAGTATATAAGTAACAGTGCAAGTCCATACTATTATATAATTTTAGAAAATATGAAATATAAACAATTTTTAGTTTATTTAAAACCATAATTTATAATTAATATACCTATATTAGTATCTACGGTTAGTGGATAAGAGGGAAAACATTTTTATTTTCTATTCTACTAGAAAAAGTAATTCGTGACAAAAAATATTTTGCTTTTTAATTGAATACGTTTGTCATGAAAAACTGTAATAAATATATATACAGGGTGATCAGAAATTTAACAAAATTAATAACGTTGAAGAATAAACTGCTTTTGTTTTTGATAATATAAAAAAAATGTTAATAAGAAAAGTTGTTCATAACGGAAAGTTACGTTATAATTACGATTTGTGAATAAAGCGGCTTACTTTGGTATAAACAGAAATGGAAAATATTATATTTTTAATAATTAATATTAAGTAATTCTTGATAAAAAAAATTTGCATATTAATATAAATAGAATTTTAATTGTGAATATACATAATAATGAGAAAATATAAAAAATATGTACGATATACTTATTTTGTCCAAAAAATGTGTAAAGAATTATGTACAAAAGGACGATTTGAGTCTAAATTTTTTTTATGAGAAATAGGTAATTCAGTTCACTTCAATTGAAAAAATAGTTGTCTTATAGGTACTTTAATACCTCCAATATAAACAGAAATTCTGTGGAACAGTGTAGTTTAATAAATATGTAAATAAATGAAAGTAATAAAGAAGTAAATAGAATAGGTACAGTAGAACAGGAAAAAATTTAAAAATTCATAAAATAAAATTATTTCTTTTTATTAATTTGAGTTTCTATAATATATTCTGGATCCATACATCTTTTTCCCTGTGGAATATTTTTGTATATTATTTCTGGTAGTATACAATTTTTATAAAATTGTTCCAAATTTGTTGCCATTGATTTTTTCCATAATTCTTCATATTTCTTAATTTGTTCTACATAGAGTGGGTTGTTTTCACCACTATAGGTATATTACGAAATAACATATAGACTTCTTCCGGTTCCGTATCTGAAAGTAAGAAAAGAATTTTACCAGATAATATTTGTTATAAACATAGATAATTATACATTTTTACCTATTATGCTTTTGATTTACCATAATGATATATCTAGTCATATATAGGGTGCCACAATAGTGCGATAAAGTTTAGTATAACTGCCTGTAGTAGTGATACGAAAAAAGTTACTTGCTCGGATTCACATTTTATTATTATTTCCATTATTCATTATTTTCAGACCGAATTAAACGTTCAGAAAATCTTGTTTTTGGCCTGAAGATTTTGCCCTATACAACTATAACTGAAAATAATTATAAACTTTGTCACACTATTGGAACAGCCTGTATGTGCATTGCAACGACAATATGTCATATTTATATTACGGCTAAGTAAGCGGAAAGTCCATTGTCGCATATATGTAATTTTTATTTTCAAATAATCAAATACAATACCTACATATTTATTTTAATACCTATTATTTACTTGAATTTAGTACCAAGTACAACTATGCCTAGCAAATTGTAATACTTACTCGCTTTTAATGTTTTTTCCTTCACATAAAAAATAGTAAACTCCACAAATAAAATATTTCGCAGCCACAACGCAACAATAAAAGATAACAGCTCAAAGATCCAGACAAGAAATAATTATACATTCGCACCTACTCTGCTCCGAATCCATATAAGACTAAAATGTAGAAAATAATATGAAATAAAACTTTTAGTTGGCTGCAAATGTTATAAATTTGTACAACCATTTGCCATCCTCCTTTTGTAAATATGTACATAATAATATGTAGAAGATAGAAAATAGAAATATTTTCAGAACAAAAAACCGGCGGCCGCAAATTGGAGTTTTTATTATT